AAAATATATTATCCTCCCTTACATAAAACATGAATGAGGTGCCTTGGAAATGGGAAAGATCAAGGACTTAGCGATCTGAAGGTCAGGGTTGTCCTTCGAAGGTAGGAAACCTTTGACCTCTGGGCCTTGGAAGATGAGGTGTTGAAAGGGAGGAAGCCTTGGCATGTTCAGGAATGGGGAGTTGTGCAATACTGCTGCAGCCCCAGGTACATGGAGGAAGTGGTAGGATACGAGCTTGGAAGTGTAGTTTGGAGCCAGGCAAGGAATGACTTTTAAAACGGGGCGAAGGAGTTAGGACTTCATCTAATGTTTAATGGAGAGGTACTCAAGTATTTTAAGCAGCAAGATAAAAATATTTATTTTTTTAAAGGTAGAAAGACAGAGGTCTCCCATCTGTTGATTAACTCCCCAAATGTCTGCTGTGGCTGGGGCTGAGCCAGGCTGAAACTATAAGCCGGGTCTCAGTCCAGGTATCCCACATCGGTGGCAGGGATGCAACTGCTTGATTCATCACCTGTTGCTTCCCAGGATACACATTAGCCAGAAGCTGGACTCAAATCCAGGCACTCCAGCAGGGATGTGAATGTCCCAAGCAGCACCCTAATGACTACAACAAATGCCAATCCATGAAGTAAGATTTTTTAAAAAAAGACTTATTTGTTTGAAAAGCAGTGTTACAGAGAGAGAGAGAGAGAGAGAGAGAGAGAGAACCATCCTGTGGTTCACTCCCCAAATGGTCACAACCCCCAGGACTGGACCAAGCTGAAGCCAGGAGCTTCTCACAAGTCTCCCATGTGGGTGGCAGGGCCCCAAGCGCTTGGACTATCTTCCACCACTGCTTTCCCTGGTAAATTAGCAGAGAGCTGAATCAGAAGTGGAGCAGCTGGGACTCAAACCCATGCCCACGTGGAATGCTGGCATTGCAGGTGGCAGCTTAACTTGCTACGCCACAGCACCAGCCCCACAAATTAAGATTTTTAAGATTATGTAGTTTTTTATTTAAATTTTTTTTAATTTTATTTAAGGAATACAAATTTCATTTATTTCATATATACAGATTTAGGAACATAGTGATACTTCCCACTCTACCCTCCCTCCCACCCATGTTCCTACCTTTCCTCCTTCTTCCTCTCTTATTACCTTTCTTAATTTTTAAAATGATCTACTTTCACTTTACTTTATACTCGTAAGATTAACCATACACCAAGGAAAGAGTTCAACAAATAGTTAAGAAGGAAAAAAGAAAAAAAAAACCGTTCAGGGCTATAGGGGCTAGCATTATGGCTTTGTGGGTAAAGATGTCAACATCCCATATGGGCACTGGTTCAAGTCCTAGCTGCTCCACTTCATATCTAGCTCCCTGCTAATGCTCCTGAGAAAAGCAGTGGAAGAAGGCCCTCGTGTTTGGGTCCTTGCACCCACATCGGAGACCTGGAAGAAGCTTCTGGCTTCAGCCTGGTCCAGTCCTGGCCATTGCAGCCAGTTGGAATTTGGAAAATCTCTCTGCTTCACCCCATCTCTCTCTTTAGCTCTGCTTTTCAAATAAATAAATAAATCTTTTTTAAAAAAAATAGACTTTTAAAAAATTACTTTTTTTGTTTATTTGACAGAGTTAGACAGTGAAAGGGAGAGACAGAAAGGTCTTCCTTCCATCGGTTCTACCCCGAAATGGCCACTACAGCTGGAGCTACGCTAATCCAAAGCCAGGAGCCAGGTGCTTCCTCCTGGTCTCCCATGCGGGTACAGGGGCCCAAAAACTTGAGCCATCCTCCACTGCCTTCCTGGGCCACAGCAGAGAGCTGGACTGGAAGAGGAGCAACTGGGACTAGAACCCGGTGCCCATAAGGGATGCCGGCGCCACAGGTGGAGGATTAACCAAGTGAGCCATGGTGCCGGCCCCCAAAAATTACTTTGATTATAGTAGGATGGATTGGGAAGTACTAAAATTCGAGGTAGAAATTAGGTTAACCTCAGTGGACCCATAGGTATATTGTATTTCCCTCAGGATGTTTGATACATTTTTTTGTAATTAGAGATATTTATGCATGTATCTTTCCTATTAATAATAATGGAGTTGGGCTGCAAGTGGTGTTTTAAATGGCTGTAAGAACTGTGTAGAAATTACTATCAAACACCCAAGAATTCTTTAGCATTGCATTTATGGCACAAATTACTAAGTAGTTGAATTTTCTTACCCTAATTCCTCCCAGGTGTTAGGGGAGATAAGACATTAATAAGCATTAAAACAGCTTCACAATGTGTTTACTTGGAATCCTAACACTCATAGCTCATAGGCACCATCTTGAGTTCATTTCTTTCTCTGTGTACCACGCCAGACACACACATTACCTCACTTAATATTTTCATTAAGTGGTGTTAGATCTGGTTTACAGATATGCTGAGGCACAGACAATTTAAGATGTCAGCCTCATATAGCAAGTGTTTTTCCATCCTTAGTAGTCATCGGGATCTTTTTCTTTGCCTTGAATATGTTCCTTCAGCACAAAAAAGAAACGTGGGGCTGGCGCTTTGGCATAGCGGATTAAGCCACTGCCTGCAACACAGGCATTTCCATATAGGCGCCGGTTCATATCCCGGTGGTCCACTTCCTATCCAGCTCTGCTAATGCACCCGGGAAGCAGCAGAAGATGACCTAAGTACCCGGACCCCTGGACCCACATGGGAGATCCAGATGAAGCTACTGGCTTTGGCCTGGCCTGACCTTGGCTGTTGCAGCCAACTGGGGAGTAAATCTGCAGATGGAAGATCTCTCTCTCACTGTGTCTCCTTCCCTCTCTGCCTTTCAAATAAGTAAATAAATTTTTATAAAAGAAAAGAAATGAAAATAGCTTTTCCAGTTCCACTTCTCTATAGTGTTCTTTTTCCAGATTCACAAAACTGACCTCTTCAGGTCTTAATTATCACTTCTCAAGGAGGCCTTCTTGACCCCATGCTACACATTTCTCTCTTTTGTCTTCTCTAAAGTACACTGTTATCTGAAATTATGTATTGTTGAGCCTCTGTCCCCTAATCTCGGCTGTAAATTTAATGAGATCAAGTACTTTGGATGTTGCATACACTTCTAATGTACAAATTTCCAACAGTTTAGAACAATTTCTGGAACTTACTGCATATTCAACATATATTTATCCAAGCTCTAGATGAAAGAAACAATGAATAAATGTCTCCAAAATCCATGCTGTTTGCCACTCACATTCTCTCTAGGGGCTTGCTTCCTGCTACTGACAACATCAGGGGGGAATTGGCTGACAATGTAATGTGTTGGTCCCAGGCTTATTAACTTTCCATAACCAAATATTTACTTACTAAAAAATAGAAACTCACAGATCATTCATTTCCTCATTACTTAAGATAACTAGATTGCATCTAAGCTTGTGGTTCATACATAGTACCTATGAGAAGTGATTAATTTAAAAGTAACAAAATTTTCAGATAAATAATTTTTAGAATTTTACCTTTTTTTAATGCATTCATGTTGACTGATTTTGGTAGGAGTGTATTTGAATTTATGCCAAACTGACATTGTTTCTGACTGTTTTGTTGCTTTTTGGGGCACCAGACATTTAAAAAATGCATGGCCTATCTGATAAGTTATGAATTCATATTCTCTCCATACATAAAATAACAGTCCTAGGGGCATGCAGATTCTTCCATTCTTTCCTCAAAGTACATTTTTCTCTTGTGGTTTCAGATTGGCCTTTTGGGAAGTGTAATTTTCCTTTGTCTTGGTGGAATCTGAGACTACTGACTTTCTCACTAGCATATTGGCCTCTTCTTTCCTCAGTACCTAAGAATAGTTTGCTGAGTAACTCCTAAGTTAGAGAGGGTGGCCTGGGGAGGAAATTTAAGTACATTTCTCGGTGTTTTGTGGAGGCACGTGATCTTAGCTCAGTTCATTAACTTTGTGAAAATTCTATGAAAATGTTCTTATAACTCTAAACCACAGAGCAAAACAGTTCCAAAGCAACCTGCCTTTTTTTCTTGATCCCAACCTTCTCCCAAAACCATGGCAGAATGCAAGTGAAGAGAAAAATGGTTGACGAGCATAATTTTAAGGCGTCCTAAGCATCACTGGTTGGTTTAATAAAATTAACTAGCCTGCCATGGAGAAAATTTACTAGCGTGCTGGTTAATTTCACAATGTAAAGTCAGGGAAGGAAGGTAGAGTTGAAGGAACAAACCTTATTAATTTTGAATAATTATTTAAAGATGTGGGCCTCTGCCTATTTTAAACACTTTGATAGCCAAATCTATGAAGGCTTTAAAATCTCATTTTTTTATCATAGGATATCTGAGAAAGAACCTCTCTAGGTGAAATCACAACCACATTAGTTAACAGCTAAATAATTTATTTAAATACAGCACAGCAAGTAGAGATCTAATAAGCAATAGGAATTAGAATTTACCTGAAAACTGGCTCATGGGAGGTTTCCATTATCTTAATTTGCCATTGATGCAATCATTGCTCTTTCTTGTCTTTTTAATCCAAACAATATGTTTGCAAAGGCTATGGAAAGGTGCCTGAAATCACATGCTTGAATTCGTTTAATTTGTAGGGTTGTCTTTTCTCTCTCTTTCTGGTAATGGGTAAGAGTCAGTTCTGGTGCATTAGGTGCTAAATCTCTTCAATTACCAGCGGGAAGAAAGATTTAACATTGTGCTTCAAACCTACAAACTGATTTAGTTTTAATGCACAAGCACTTTTCCTGTGGAGCCTAAATTAAACTACAGAAAGGACACAGAGTATGAGGAATGAAACAAGGAACAGCTAAGGCTTAGGCCAGTGATAGGAACCATTTTTGACTTTTTTCTTTTGAGCACCCTGTTGTAAAAGGAAGGAGAGCAGAAACAGGCCAAAAGGTATAATCTACACAAGAAAGCACAGTGTTACTTCCTTTGAAAGCTGAATACGGAGTCGATGTTGGTGCAGGGAATCTCAGTAAATCTCTTACCCCTTTCTTTTTCTGGGTTTTTGGCAGCCATTTTCAATGTGGATGACTCTGTGGTTGACCTGGAGACCCTGGCGGCTTTATATGAAAATGTGAGTAGCAACAATATTCAGAGCTAGAGTTTCTACCCCAAAACTCATTGAGCTGTTCATGTTCTTCAGTGGTAAGAATTTCAGCCTATCCTGGAAGAGATTAAGGCACAGAAATGCAAGCTTGAGTGAGTTGACACGACAGGAGCACTAGGTTCCTGACTCCCACCATGCTCATCTGTGTTAGTAGATCTCATTGAGCATCTGCGAGTCAGGGTGGTTCAAGGTGGAGACCACCCACTGTTGTGCTCTAGAACTCATTTCTGTCATGTGCTGGCAGAGTGACTGAAGATAAGCTCCCTGGTTAATGTTGGCCTATACCAGTGTCTTCCTTTGAGGAATGGGAAGCCAGTACCAGCTTGGATGATTACTCTTAGTCCAACTGAGCTAATGATGTTGAATGTGGGAAGGTAGTGTGGAATGGTTGCTGTGATTCTTGATTTCGAAGTCAGATGGTCTTAGGTCCAGCTCTACCACTGCCTGCTGAATGACCCTGGGCCAATTACTCAAGTTCCTTAATCCTATAGACCATCAGCATAATGGGAATTATAGTGGGGCCCACCAGATTGTTTTGTATTAAATGTGATTTAACACATGTAGCAGTTGCAATGTATTTTGAAAGTAAACAGCACTACACACATATAAGGTCTTTTAAGTTGACTAATGAGTGGATATAACCAACAGAATGAGCAGGCTGTCTTGAGTAGATGACAGCAGAGAGTCACAATTCCCACTACTGTTAATTGTTCTGGTTTCCTGACTGTTAGGATGCAAAAACATAGATTGAACTGGATTCTCTTTTTTTTTTTTTTTTTAAGATTTTTTTTATTTGACAGAGTTAGACAGTGGGAGAGAGAGAGACAGAGAGAAAGGTCTTCCTTCCATTGGTTAACCCCCTAAATTGCCACTATGGCTGGAGCTACGCCGAACCAAAGCCAGGAGCCAGGTGCTTCCTCCTGGTATCCCATGCAGGTGCAGGAGCCCAAGCACTTGGGCCATCCTCCACTTCCCTCCTGGGCCACAGCGGAAAGCTGGACTGGAAGAGGAGCAACCGAGACTAGAACCCAGTGCCTATATGGGATGCTGGCGCTGCAGGTGGAGGATTAACCAAGTGAGCCATGGTGCCAGCCCCCTGGATTCTCCTAAGTAATGGTATTTCCCAGGAAGTTGCCTGGGGCTCTAGGGTATGCCATGGTCACCCAGCTCAAAATGATTCGTTTCAGTATTTATGTTCTCTGAGGCTTTACATCTCTTATAGAAATTGTCCATAGTCTAATATTCTAGGTGTGGTGGGCTCATCAGTTCCCTACTCATTTTCATATACTTTATATGTATTAGGAGCTATTTATACAGGCAGGTAGAAGCTTTTCCCACATTTCCTAAAACCAGGAAAGCTTTCATTAATAAACCCAAAGGCACTGGGACATCAGGAGGTGATTGTGAACTTGTTGATTACCTGGAAGGCAGCATGATATAGTGGGAGAAAGAAGGACTGCTCATCAGAAGCCCTTCACCAGTTACTTAGCTCAAGCCTCAGTGGGTCTTTCTATAAAATTCAGATACAGTCATTGATGTTAAATGATATTGTTAGGGGCGGAGCACCTTCCAGATGCTTTTTGTTGTCAGCATGAGCTCAGGGCTATGCACACGGTTGATACTTGTTAGCACATCTTAGAGTCCAGCTGCATTCAACTAAATGCCAAAATAAGTGGTCCAGACAATAGGTACTGATGAAATTCAGAACAAGGGAAAATGGTGAACAGAAGTAAATTAGGCACCTATGCAAGTTAGAAGTGCTATTCTGAGTGTGGTAAGGACAACTTGCCCCCTCTGCTTACACCTGAAGAGACAGGGAATTAAAGGTAGTAATCAATCGCCCTGGTTTCCTTGTCTGACTGAGTGTGCTTGTTGTGACCTTCTGTATTAACCAGGGGCTCTCAAACTTCCACATGTACCAGAATCACCTGGAGGGCTTACAGGGTCACACCTTTGAGTATCTTGTGTCTGTGGTGGGGTTGGGTTTGCATTTCCAGCAAATGACAGCTGATGCTCCTGTTGCTAGACTAGAGATTATACCTTGAGACCCACTGCCTTAGATTCTCACTGCTTTTTGTTTTGTCTTTCAATACAGAGAGCCCAAGAGGATGAATTGGTTAAAATAAGAAAGTATTATGAGACATCTAAAGAAGAAGAATTGAAGCTGCTGGATAAACCTGAACAGTAAGGACACTAAACTACTTTCCGGTTAGGCCGAAAGGAGAACCATGGTCTCTGTGTTCCTCCGTCCCTATTCTGAGAGACCAAATCTATTGTGCAGTGAGCTAAATCACAACATTATCATCCCCGTGACCTATTGCAAGTAGCAGAATGATCCAGCTGCCGGGAAAAGCAGAACGGAGATTTGTGCTGCTGGATACAGTATGTCTCACCCCACCCCCTTCTCTCACCCCACACAACTCCCCATTCTTGTTCTAGCAACTTGTTAATTCCTCCTAGACTAAACATTTTAGCCAAAAGGGTAACCGAGGAAGGAAGAAGGCATTGCTCTGTTTAAGCTTCTGCTGATGCAGTTAAATGATGATATCAGTGTCACAGAATTCAAATTCATCTTCCTGAGTGTCATATTCAGTAAATGGAGCCCAAATGAGCCAGTGTCTTCCTAAATTTCTCCACCTGCCCTGGCCCAATTTGGTGAGACTTTCTCACCCTTGCACTGTGCTTGTTCTTCTCTCCACTCACATCTAGAGTTGCTTGCTCTGTTCTTAGATCATCTCATAGGCTTGACAACCCATACACTCTAAGTATGTAACTTAGTAACTTGTGTCCTTGCTTGGAGGGTGTTCTGAGATAAGCTTCTGGGGCTTATCTCAGACACCAGGGCCCTACCCAGCTTTTCAGGGCCTAGGACTCTGAAAATTATTAAGTGGATAGGGGCCTCTTTTGCTATCTTGAATGCCTCATTTCCGATTGAAACCTACACTCAGCCTGGAGATTAGTCAGTCGTAGAACACAAAGTAGAAATGAAGTGTTCATGGCTATGGTAACAAGTCAACCTTCAAGACCTCCGAAGTTCTATGGCTTGCACTGACACCTTCCATGCCTTGTCTTTGGGTTTTCCAGAATGCTCCAACCCCCATAGATGCCTGGATAATCAAACCCGGAAAAGCGTCTGTAAAACACAAAGGGTGGGAAGAGAATTCTAGGTTTACTCAGTTATTGATAAGCCTCATGGTAGTTTTGGAAACCTTAGATGAATTACTGTCACATGGAACAAGGGTCAAGACCCCCTGCCCCTTACCCAAAGTTAGTTCATGAAGCCTCCAATGTTGTAAATCTGTCCGAATGGGATTCCCCTGCTTTTGTGTTCCATTTACTTGAACCATTCTCCTTAGCAGTTCCCACCACAAACTGATCCTGTGATTTATTCTCAAGTCATGTTTCCTAATTAATACTTGTGAAAGTGGCAGTGGCTGAAAGTAGATACTATTAATGGGATGGTTAGGCATTGACAAGGCAATAGGGGATAGGTGGGGACATTAGGTCATATGAAGCATTTAGGTTGTACCAGTTGTACAAAATTGGACACTAAGCCTGGAATGCCAAACTTTTTTTTAAATTTTTTTAAAGCTTTATTTCTTTGAAAGGCACATTTATACAGAGAGAGGGAGAGATGGAGAAAGATAGAGATCTTCCACCTGCTGGTTCACTCCCCAAATGGCTGCAATGACTGGGACTGGTCCAAGCCAAAGCCAGGCACTTGGAACTCCATCTGGGTCTCCCACATGGGTGACAGGGGCCCAAGTATATGGGCCATCTTCTGCTGCATTCCCAAGTGTAGTAGCAGGGTGCTGGATTGAAATGAAACAGCCAAGACTTGAAACAGTGCTGTGATATGGGATGCTACTGTTGCAGTTGGTGGCTTAATCTGCTGCACCTCAAAGCTGGCCCCTAGAATGGCAAACTTTTTCTGTCAAGGACCAGATAGTATATACTGTAGGCTTTGTGGGTCCAAGAGATCTGTCACAACTACTCAAGTCAGCCATTATGGTGCAAAAGCAATCATAGACAATATATAAACAAATGAGTGTGGCTTTACCCTGATAAAAGTTCATTTGTGAACACTAGAATTTGAATTTTATATTATTTTTACATGTCATAAAATGTTACCCTTCTATTGATCCTTTCTTCAACTATTTTAAAAAAATGTAAAACACTGTCTTATATCACAGACCTTAGAAAGCTAGTGGCAAGCTGAATTTGGCCTGCAAGCAGAACTTGACAACCCCTGAGTCACTCTGCAGCCTCTATTCTCAGCTATAGGAATGGGTGACCCAGTGAAATGCATGCTTGGTGAGAGAGATCATGTGCTTCCATAGCTGGAAAGAGTCACCTTTTCCTTTTGGATCCTTTCTTCCTTTTTCCTTGTTTTTCAAGAATGATTGCCAGCACATAGAATAATAGTGGCCGATAAATTAGTAGGCAGCTTATTCCTATTTCTTTGCTGGTGGTGTTCAGAGAAAAGCATTTTTAAATTTGTGAATGGCTTCCTGGACATGTACAGCTAAGACTGATGGCAGCTAGGACTGTCATGTTGTACTGGGGAGGTGATGGACTTGGGCTCAGTGGCATGAAGAAGTAATGGCCCTAAGACCTTAGTGAATTTCACCTTTGCTCCCAGCCTCCTAAACTGGCTTGCATTTGTTTGATTTATGACAGAGTCTGATTTTCTGGCAACTTATTTGCCATAAAGTCCAAGTGAGTCTGCTGTAAGCATTTTTTGCAAGTCATTTCCCACAGAGGTGTTCTCTGCTGGGGACCACTCCTTCTAAGGAGAGCCGCTCTGGTTGTCTGTGAGCTGCTCCCTTGAAGGATGCCCCATACCTCTCTTGTTGCTTGGTAATGGTGGTGAGGTGAGGCAGACCTTACTATATTGGATTAGGCCTGATGCACACTTGTCTTGGCCTAGAATGAGGACACCATAGACAGCTTATTGGGTTGCTCCACCAGGATCCGTGGCTGTCTAGGAACTCCCACGAAGTAGGCTGTGTTAGTGTACTTCTCTGTAGTCTGATAGTGTTAGCATTCTCTTCTATGAATGAACAGAAGCTGAAGCATGAAATTATGAGTGGATGCAGTCCTGTGTGATAACCCCAGTCAAGGATTTGGGGATGATTAACAGTGGGCCCCATGGTATCATGACACCTGTGAGCTGAGTTGTAACCATGGATTGGTAACCCCAAACAGTATGAGGCACGGAGCTTCTGTCATATATACATAGTGAAGTTGTCCTTCCTGGGGAAGTCCGAATGCACAGGGGGAAAAGGGAGAAGATGCTTTATGTGTGTCACATATGGAGCGTATTTAGTCCTCTCTATTATTAAAACTAAGAGTATAAATTTGGACTAGCCCAAAAGGAAATAAATCTGTAAATATTAATAAGTACCAAAGCCCAATGTTTAAAATCCTATGCTTAGGGATATGTAAGAGTTGCTGACCCTATCTTTATGTTTAGAGTGTAAGGTGCACTTGGTGTGGGGTCAAGGTATTTAACAGACACTTGCTTTCCATAGACTTTGTGGTAACTAATACTTCTTGTCCTTCACTAGATAAATGCGAAGGTTACAATGCTTTGCTGCAAGCCTTTGCATGGCTATTTTGGGGAAGAAAAATTTCCCCAAATATCTTCTCCAGTATTTTGAATCTTCACATTCTTCCAGGTATCCAAGCCAAAAAACCCATAAGTCATCCTAGACTCTTCTCAGTACCCCTTGGGAAATTATTTTCTCTGGGTCTTGCTAGCCTAGGAGCTTCCTCATCCACATTGTATTCACATTGCAGGCCCTCTTCTGTTACTTTTCAGAAGATTCTGGAGTAGTCTGATAGGACTCCCACTTGCGAATCTGTTGTTATATGCAATCAGCCAAGCTACTGCATGTTCTTTCAAAAATAAAAAGCTGAAAGTGTCACTTCTCTGTTTTCAAAAGCCTTCATTTGTTCAGATAAAGTTTAAAGTCCTTATTTTAGAACACAAAATCTCATTTTAGCATCTGACTTCTGCTCACCTCCCCCTACAGATACTATTCAACCTGTCTTGGCACGTGTCCTACCCAGAGCCCTAGTTGACTTGTCGTGTCACCAGGGCCCTGACTCCAGTGCCCTGCAGTGTCTTCCATAGCTCCTCTTAGGGATCCCATTGCCAATAGCACTTACCACACCCCAGAGTAATCACTGATTTATTTCCCAGGTCATCAGGAAGGAATTGTGTTAAGTTAAATGCTATTCCCAAGTCTTAGTGTGATGCCTGACACACTGAATGCCTCAAACACACTTGGAGGATTGAATGACAGTCTTGGTAACTGATGTGCTGCTCTGGCATTAATTTTCTGTGACATGATTCTGTCCCAAAGTAATGCATAATCCCTGAACTTCTCTCCCTCAGACTCTTCTCCATACAGAGGACGTTGGAACTCTGAGAGTCTTCCCAGTGTAATCCCTAATCCCAGTATAGCTTTCATGCTAGAAAACCTTGCAGTTCTATTTTATATATATATTTATTTATTTTATTGGTTAATATGAATTGATGAGTCTGCGATTTGGTCTCCTCCTATTGTTCCTAAGCCTCCTCTTCTGAGACTAGTTATAATTATTTGTCCAATATTTTCTCCTTTTCATCTGCATCCTTGTCAGTGAGGCATCCATCTGTATGTTCTCTCACATAGTCCCTGTACCTGCTCCACTCACTGTGTTCATTTCAAGTAGGAAGTGTGAGTACTCTGGGAATCTAGGTCGTACTTTGGGAATGGTGTCTTATGGCACATTTGGAAGGGGGAAATGCAAGGTCCTTCTTCAAGATAGCTTTTAGCATCTGAATAAATAAATCTTGTCAAGCGTTATCCCAGGATCCAACACAGCCAGTCCTAGGAGCTTTTACTGCTCAGATATTTGTGAAAACTGCTGATAGCACTAGTTCCAGTCATTGGAAGATTCCACTGTTTAACACTCTATTTATAAAGATGTAATTTAAACATAGACTGTGATGTTTTTCATGTTATCCTAATCCAGAATTCTTTTGGGGTCCTACTTTTATATTTCATCTTATGATTTTCATAATAATCCCAGTTGTAGAACCTTAAAACAAGAGTGTGTTTTCTTTAATGGTTATTCTTTGCTTCATCTTAATGTCATTTTTAAAATGGAGGAGATGAACTAGTTGTATGATAAGCAAGAAAAATAGTTCGTAATTAGAAGTAGTAATTAAAACCTAGCCTCAGCCAGCGCCGCGGCTCAATAGGCTAATCCTCTGCCTGCGGCGCCGGCACACCGGGTTCTAGTCCTGGTCTGGGGGTGCCGGATTCTGTCCTGGTTGCCCCTCTTCCAGGCCAGCTCTCTGCTATGGCCCGGGAGTACAGTGGAGGATGGCCCAAGTCCTTGGGCCCTGCACCCGCATGGGAGATCAGGAGAAGCACCTTGCTCCTGGCTTCGGATCAGCGCGATGCGCCAGCTGCAGCAGCCATTGCGGGGTAAACCAACGGCAAAGGAAGACCTTTCTCTCTGTCTCTCTCTCTCACTGTCCACTCTGCCTGTCAAAAAAAAAACAAAAACAAAAACAAAAAAAAATACCTAGCCTCCTTAAAAGTAAAGAAGGCATGGAGTATAAGCTAAGAACATTTCTTTGGGAATAGAAAGAAGGAGGCTCTAAGTTTGCTCCTATGTAAATCCATTATTAGTGAGAAGTTGCAAAATTTCAAGGTAATGATTTTATAAGTTGATCAAGACTTCAGAAAATCAGTTAATCATCATTTCAGTTTCAAAATGAAATTAATGATAGTGCATTCTCTCCTTTTCTGAATGCTTGTCCAACTGTTTCCACTCAGTTTATACACTTTCCTCTGGTGGTTGGCTTGGAGAGTATGTAGCTCTTCCAGCTTAATTTTGCAAAGGATACCAGTGCCCAGCTACTCAGACAGTGAGCTACTGTGTGTAGGTCAATCCTCACCTTTAGCTTTTAAGATCTGTCTTGCCATATTTTTTTAAGAAACTTAAGGTTGTCTACTTAATGAGTGCCTACTTTGTTCCAAGTTCTGAGCTATGAACTGTGTCTATACGGGTAAGTTGATGTGAAAAAGTAAACAAATAGCTGGAGAATTTGATCATTATTGACAACTGTGTCATTCACTGGGCAGAAATAGTAGCTCAGTTTAGTGAGAGAAATTTGTTGTTGTTTTTAATCACTTGTCAGTAGACATTTTCCTGAAGTCTTTACTTTGCTGCTGGTTCTATGAGAGGTGTAAATAACACCTTTAGAGAATCCTGCATTATAAGAGAATATATTGTGAATTTTTTCTTAATTGCTAAAGACTAGTGCTTTGCATTTGGATTTCATCTTTTGTTTGTTCAGCAAGAGAGAGAGATAACTTAATATACTTGCATTTACTTTATGTCTGTAAAGCAATTTATACACAGTACATTTATTGGCCATCATAGGAACCCATAAAAACCTGGTGCTGTGGATGGGCATTTGATGTAGAGGTGAAACTACCACTGATATACCTTGATTCCATATTGGAGTGACTGGATTCCAGTCTTGGCTCTGTTCCCAATTCCAGCTTCCTGCTAATGCGTATCCTGAGAGGCAGCAGATGATGGCTCGAGTAGTTGGGTCCATTCTCTTCACATGAGAGGTCACTATTGAGTTCCTGGCTTTGGTCTGGTCCATTCCTGGTTGTAGCAAGTATTTGGGAAGTGAAGCAGTGGATGGGGCTCTATCTGTCTGTCTTTGTGTCTATGTTTCTGCCTTTCAAATGAATAAATAAAAAATTTTAAGGTAATTTTTTAAAGAAGTAGCCCTGTTGTCAATAGAATATATATCCTTGGAGTTCTTTGAGTTACACTGATATCTTTTTGTCAAATGAACATTGTCATGGTGAATCTTTTTTCAGCTCTTTATTTTTCTTGTGATTATATGTAGAGGTAACGGATTCATTTTTATTTTTACAGATTTTTACATGAATTAGCGCAGATTCCTAATTTTGCTGAACGTGCCCAGTGCATAATCTTCCGATCTGTCTTTTCTGAGGGTATAACTTCCTTGCATCGAAAGGTAGAGATCATCACTCGAGCTTCTAAGGTATGTCTACTGCCTAATTTAAAAGATGGCTTTGCTCTTATTGGAAGTAAAGGAGAAAGTAAAGGACCAATTATCCTGCCCTTGTAGAAAACCTTTTGGAGATGGGGTTCTATGTTTTTCTAAGTATAAGTATCTGAACCAATTATGAGTGTGTATGAGTGGAAAAGAGAGAGTGAGAAAAGAAGATACTGAACAAGAGAGGGAGAAGGAAAGAAAAGGTGGTTTTACAGATTTCTTCTAAAAATTCCAAATACCTTCCAGTGGATGCACTACCTATAAAAGCCAACATAAATAGCATAGTTTGCTTTCTGTTTGACTCTCTGGATTGCAAAAGATGCATTTGATGATTTGATGATCTGAAAAATATGTCTACCCAATGAAATTAAGGATTCTAGAGATAATGAAATAAATATGTTGGCTTTACTATACCATTGTTCATTATGAAGTTAGATTCTAGCTCTTGGCTTTTTATTACACTGACCAGTTTTCATAAGAGCATGCTAGCCTTCTCCACAAATATTGTGGAGTAGTGCTTACTTGCCTATCTGGAGGGGACATTTGTTTTCCTCTAAAATTATACAAGATTTCAATAAGAAAGCAAAATACTGCAAAAATAATAATATGTATCCACTAGGAACACCTGGAAGCCAGGAGCAGATGTTTACCTATAGCTGAATTTTTTTATTTTATTTATTTATTTTTTTTTTTTGACAGGCAGAGTGGACAGTGAGAGAGAGAGAGAAAGGTCTTTCTTTTGCCGTTGGTTCACCCTCCAATGGCCGCCGCAGCCGGCGCGCTGCGGCTGGCGCACCGCGCTGATCCGATGGCAGGAGCCAGGTGCTTCTCCTGGTCTCCCATGGGGTGCAGGGCCCAAGGACTTGGGCCATCCTCCACTGTACTCCCTGGCCACAGCAGAGGCTAGCTGAATTTTAAAATAAAGTCACGTAAGACTATAGAGAAAAAAATTTCAACTTGGAAATTTGCACTTGACACATCAAAGAAAATAAAGAGGAAAAGCACATAAAACAGACAGCTGAAGAAATTCCTAAGCAGCTTGATATTGTAAAAGTTAATAGACAATACAACAAAAACTTAATAATCACAAATTTAATAAAATTAATAATTATAGTCCATGGCCTAAGAATGTATTATAGTTTCCCTTTGAGGATCACACACAGGGATAAGGAAGAACATGCTTACTATTATGTCTACTCTGCATTTAACTGGACAGTTTATATAGTTATATAACAGAGTCTCAAAAAGAATTAAATGCCTTTCTGCTCCAAAATTATTAAAGGTCAACCCTAACTGTATGAACTCCATTTTTCCAATTAAATACTTTAAAATAAGTATTAAAACTGGCTTAAATGGCAATATAAATACTGATATTTAATCCTCAATATTAAAACCAGGACTGTTCATAAAAGATTGAGTGAGTAGAAAATGATGACTGTTAATGTATTTTTTTTACACTTATGGCTTAGTCAAATCTATTTTTCATTTCTGCAACTGTTAGTCCTGTTGGTAACAAGCCACTAGCCTATTGGGTACTCAGCAAATATTTGCTGTTGAATGAGCATGGGTCCATTTGGAGTTCAGCTCCATACTAATTAGTGTTTGCCGTCACAGGGCTTGCTGCACATGAAGAGCGTGAAGGATATTTTAGCTCTCATTCTGGCTTTTGGAAATTATATGAATGGAGGAAATAGAACTCGAGGTCAAGCAGATGGATATAGCTTAGAAATTCTGCCCAAACTCAAGGACGTCAAAAGTCGGGTACTTGTTTATTTTTCATGATGAGTTCCTATGATCTGTCATTATTTTGCTTCTTTACCTTTACTTTAAAAAACAAAATTCCAGATTGTCCATTCTTCATTACCCTCTCCCTAATAATTTATTTTATTTTAGACGTTTTTTCTTTCTTTGCTCTCTTGTAACTTTTGAATAAAGGTCAGGTTTCTATGCTGGACCTTATTTTCAATGCCACAATCCCCAGTCTTTGTTTGCTCTAAGGTATGTGATTAGATATTAGACTGGTTCTTCAATGGGAGTATAAATAGTCAGCATTATTAGCCATGTTAGCCACGCAATGGCTGGAGTCTGTTTGACCTTAGTGTTGGCAACTTGTAATTTACTGTTTTCTGATTGGCAGAGCAGTATTGAATCACCCATTGAACCAAGCATTTGAATTATTCTTTGGCTGTGACAATTGGGCTGGGGGTCCACTGTCAAACTCTCTGAGCCTGATTAGCATTTGGCTCCACACCCCTGCAGCGCTACCTCTTTGGAAACAACCAGCCCATATCTAGGCATCCCATGGGGAACAGGGGGGAGTTCAGGGAGGGGAAATACACAGGCAAATTAGAATTAGACCCCTGTGAACAACACACAAAGGCTGCCTTGTGGGAGGGCCTGCTCGCCCCTGGCCTCTCAGGGTCATAAAGTGGCTTGGTGTTCCTTTTAAACTAGCCCTGATTGTTTTTCACACCATTAAGAACACACATTTTTTTGAAAGGTAGAAAGGGAGGGATGGTTTTCTGTTCTAGTCCCTGGTTCCCTTTAGCTCAAGCCACCCCCCCTCTTGACTTTATGCCAGAAAATATTAGCAAACACTATGTTTGTTTGTTTGTTTAGCCATTATCTCTGCAGATTTAGGGATCATCTATTTGTTCCTCCCCCACTTCCTCCAATGCCCCCCCCCCAACACACACACAAAGGCTAGGGTTTGCCATTTCTTTGCCTAGCTGTAATTTTTAAAAAAAATGAATGGGAGGAGAAGGAAAATCTTGCCAGTCTTAAACAGAATTAGGACCAGGTCTTATAAATTAGGAGAGTCACAGTCTGAAATTTCAGCTCTGACATTTCTGCCATAGTGGAGTCTTGTGTGCATAATTTTCATCTAAGCTTCTCTTTAAACCTAGGATAATGGGATTAATCTGGTGGACTACGTTGTGAAGTATTACCTGCGGTATTATGATCAGGTAAGAAATGCTAACATAATGCATTTCAACTTTTACATGTTATTTTCACTCAAAAATTGGATGATGGGTAGAAGAAAGGGGGATTTCAAGGCCAACATAAAATCTGAGAGCTTTCCCTGACTCCTTGGTTTACATGAGAACACTGAAGCCCAGGGAGTTTGGCTCACTCTTTTAAAGGGAAGCGCTATTCAGTGGCAGGAGTATACCACTTCTCAACCTACCTTGCAACACAGCTGCAGGGAGACCCTCAAACTGCCTCAGCACATTGTGACCCCATATGACAGTCTCTGTAAAATCTAGATTAATTCAGTAATTGGTTATAATTGAAACTAGACTCTGAGATGCAAAGCAAGATGTAGGAAATTTAGGCAGTAATACCTAGTATTTTGCCAGTAATGCAAGTGTGAACAAGTTGAAGACGTGGAATTTGAAAAACGCGTCTCCTCTGCTTAGATTATATTTGCAGTTAGAAATAAACATTTCTCTGAGAATTCACCTGAGCACAATTTTCTGTTTTATTCCTTCTTAAATTGAGAACAGGGAGTCCTAACTTTGAGAAGAAAGAGGGACTGTTACAAGTTGTTGAAAAACAGTCATCAATATGGATGGAAAAAGTGTCCAAAGAAAATGTTGTCAGAGCATGGAGGGAAGAAAATTCAAGATTCCAGGATCTTGTTTTCAAAAGGCTTACAATTTTATTCATCAGACAAGCTAAGCCCTGATGAGCTTCCTTCTGGGAGAGCTTATCAAACTATTCCCAGTAGATCTACATTTGGGTTCATCCTCCTCCTCCCTCCCTCCAAACTCCATCCTATTTCTAATGAAGATATTTTTTCATCTTTCAGGCAGAAAGACTTACACTGTTCTTCAGTTCACCTCTGTCATTCAACTGCATAGTTTCTACTTGCTGGCTCTGGCTGATTCAGGCTGGAGATTTTCAGTGGCTTCCCAGCTCATCTCCCATCTGCAGGTGCTGATGCTCTGAACCATCACACACCTTCACATGTGGTTCTGATCATATCACTTTCTTTACTCAAAACGGAAATGATTCTCCGTTTTCAAGTGAATTAAGACTCTACTCAAGTTAATTCCATTTTCTATCAACCAGACTTTTATTACTGTCTCTCTACACATATCTTGTGATCCAACTCAAGACCTGAGGTTTTCCAAACACACCCACCCTGTGCCTCCTCACTAATGTGTTTTCTTCTGATGTTCTCCCTAACTGGAACTATCTTAGTTTTCTAAAACTTTCCTTTTTTTTTTAGACTTTAATATGCTCTGCAAATAATGAATTTAATGATCTTTTAAGAAAAAGCTCCCACTGGTATTATCAATATATGTGCTATAAACTTATCCAAAAAAGTACCAACCCCTTGTGAAGAGATTTACATAATTTTATGGAGAGCCATAAGAAAAATGACTTAAAAGTATAGAGTGAGGCAAAAAAAATTGTTTAAAAAGATGAGCAGGGGTCAGTACTATAGGACAGCATATTAACCCACTGCCTGTGACACTGGTATCCCTTATGAGCACCAGTTCAAGTCCTGGCTTCTCTGCTTCCAATCTAGTTTCCTGCTAATGCTCCTGGGAAAGCAGCAGAAGATTGCCCAAGTGCTTGGGGACCTTGCCACCCACATGGGAGACCTGGGTAAAGTTCCAGGATCTTGACTTTGGCCTGGCCCAGCCCTGGATGTTGTAGGCATTTGGGGAGCAAACCAGCAGATGGAAGATAGATTCTCTCTTTCTCTCTCTCTCTCTCTCTCTCCCCTTCCCTCCCTCCTTCCCTTCTTCCTCCCTCCCTCCTTCCCTCTCTTCTCTCTCTGTCATCAGTCTTTCAAACAAACAAATAAATCTTAAAAAAAAAAAAAAAGAAAAGATGAGCATGGATGGGTATTTGACTACCACCCGACTCCAGCTTCTTGCTAAAATAGACCCTGGGAGGCAGTGGTGATGGCTCAAGTCTTTGGGTTCCTGCCACTCATGTAGGATTGAATTACCTTTAAAAAAAATTATATAAGGTATACAAATTTCATGTATACAGATTGAGAAACAGTGATACTTCCCACCCTATCCTCCCTCCCTCCCAGCTCCCAACCTTCCTCCTCCTTCCTCACCTAATCCCTCTTAATTTTTACAATGATCTATTTTCAGTTTACTTTATACTCATAAGATTAACACTACACTAAGTGAAGAGTTCAACCAATAGTAAGAAGAAAAAGAAAAAGAAACTGTTCAGGACTGTAAACAATCATCCTAGCTGAAAATGTTGATTTCACTCCTATACATTACATTTTGAGCACTCTTAGTTACCACAGATCAGAGAAAACATATGTAGTTGTCTTTTTGGGACTGGCTTATTTCACTAACTATAATGGTTTCCAGTTGCATCCATTTTGTTGCATAAGATAGGATTTCATTCTTTTTTTTATAGCTGAGTAGTATTCCAAATTGTATATATACCATGTTTTTTTATCCAGATATCAGTTGATGAATATCTAGCTTCATTCCATATCTTAGCTATTGTAAATTGAGCTGCAATAAACAAGGGGTACAACTCTTTCATATGTTGATTTCAGTAAATTCCCAGTACCAGGATGGCTGGGTCATATCCTATATCTGTTTTCAGCTTTCTGAGGTATCTCCATACTGTCTTCCACAATGGCTGCGTCAGTTTATATTCACACCAAAAGTGGATTAGGGTACCTTTCCCCTCACATCCTCGCCAGCATTTACTGTTTGTTTATTTCTGTTTGAGAGCATTCTTTTTTTTTATTATTTTTTAAAATGTTTTTGAGAGTGGACAGTAAGAGAGAGAGACAGAGAGAAAGGTCTTCCTTTTGCCGTTGGTTCACCCTCCAATGGCCGTCGCGGCCAGCGTGCTGCAGCCAGCGCATCGCCCTGATCCAAAGCCAGGAGCCAGGTGCTTCTCCTGGTCTCCCATGCAGGTGCAGGGCCCAAGCACTTGGGCCATCCTCCACTGCACTCCCGGGCCATAGCAGAGAGCTGGACTGGAAGAGGGGCAACTGGCACAGAATCCGGAGCCCTGACGGGGACTAGAATCTGGTGTGCCGGCGCCGCAGGCGGAGGATTAGCCTATTGAGCCACAGCGCCAGCCTGTATGAGAGCATTCTAATTAGGATGAGGTAAAACCTCATTGTGATTTTGATTTGCATTTCCCTGATGGCTAATGATCCTGAACATTTTTTCATGTGTCTGTTGGCCATTTGAATTTCCTCTTTTGAAAAATGCCTGTTCAAGTCTTTCACCCTTTTCTTAACTGGATTGTATGTTTTGTTGTTGTTGAGTTTCTTGAGCTCTTTATAGATTCTGGATATCAATCCTTTATCAGTTTCTTAGTTTGCAAATATTTTCTTCCATTCTGTCAGTTTTCTCTTTATTTTCCTGAGTGTTTCTTTTGCAGTGCAGAAGCTTCTCAGCTTGATATAATCCCATTTGTCTATTTTGACTTTGATTGCTTGTGCTTCTGGGGTCTTTTCCAAGAAGTCTTTGCCTCTGCCAATGTCTTGCAGAGTTTCTCCAATGTTCTCCTCTAGTAATTAGATGGTATCAGGACATAGATTTAGATTCCTGATCCATTTTGAGTTGATTCTTGTATAAGCTATAAGGTAGAGGTCATGTTTTATAATTCTCCATGCAGAGCTCCAATTTTCCCAGCACCATTTGTGGTGAAGGGACTGTCATTGCTCCAGGGATTGATTTTAGCTCTTTTGTCAAAGATTAATTGGTTGTAGATATGTGGATTAATTTCTGAAGTTTCTATTCTGTCCTGTTGATCTTCATGTCTATTATACCCATTTTTGTGCCATTATGAGACTGTTTTGATTAAAACTGACCTGTAGTATGTTGAAATCTGGTGTTGTGATGCCTCTGGCTTTATTTTCGTTGTCTAAGATTGTTTTAGCTATTTGGGGTCTCTTGTATTTCCATATGAATTTCAGCATCATTTTCTCTAGATTTGAGAAAAATGTCATTGGTATTTTGATTGGGATTGCATTGAATCTGTAAATTCCTTTTGATAGTATGGACATTTTGATGATATTAATTCTTCCAATCAATGAACATGGGAGATTTTTCCATTTTTTATGTCTTCTGTTTCTTTCTTTAATGTTTTGTAATTTTCATCATAGAGGTATTTACCCCCTTGGTTAAATGTATTCAAATTTTTGTAGGATTGAATTTGTTGTAGGATTGAATTCCAATTTCAACCTCTGTCCAGCCTTAGTTATTGTGGTCATTTGGGGATGTTTGCCCCTGCCCCCTTTCTCAAGTTAATTATTTAATTATTTTTAAAGGACAAAAATTGGCAAATGACTTGAATAAACATTTCTCCAAAGCCAAAGGAGTCATACAAATAGGCAATAAGTAAATGAAGAAATGCTGAACAGCACTAGTCATTAGGTACATACAGTTCAAAATCACAGATATTCCCTCATCTACATTAGATTGGCCCTTATAAAATTAACAAATGTTAACAAGGATGTGGAGAAATTGGAACTCTAATCACTGTTGGGAATGTAAAATGGTTTAACCACTATGGAAAACAGTATGAGTGTTTCTCAAAAAAGTAAAAATAGAACTATCTTATGATCAAGGAATCCTTCTTTTAGGTATTATCCAAAAGAATTGAAACCCAATCTCAAAAGAGATACTAGCACTCCAACATTCCTTGCATCACACAGTTTTCTGGGCAAGCACATAGCATCTTTATGTGAATGCTTTTTTACAAAAGTATCCTCTGTAGGATACATAGCTTTGTGAGTGGAGGGCAGGCTAGATAAGACTGCTTTTGATCTAGAGACCTTAAACAGAGATCAACTCAGTTTAAACCTGATGAACTATATATGATAGTCCCAAGAAAAGTTTGCTCAACTTAACATTATTACAACTTATAAATCCAGTTGGTTTTTCATATCTTCTGTTTGTCTTTTGTAAATTGCCTGCCATGTCTCTGGCCATTTCTTTAATGAAAAGGAGCA